GCCCGAGGCCTCTTCCCGTAAGAGGCCAAGGAGGACGCGGACAGGTGAAGATCGGCCCTAAATCTGGACTCCGTTCCCCATTAGATGCTTTGAAACCGGGATGGGTCAACGACCCGCGTCAGTGTCCGGCCCCCTTTTCCCCTGGCTGACCTAGTCGCAGCTTCCTCGGCCCCAGCTCCGGAGTCCTTGGAGCCCGAGCAGCGTTCCAGCCTGCACCGGCACGGCCCCCTGCGGGGTCCAAAGCCGGCTTCCATCCCGCTGCTATCCCCCAAAACCTAGCAGCTAGGTCCTAGCTTCTTTACTTTAGATTTGTGGGAACCCCCCCCCCCCCCCCCGCCCCCCGCGCTTCCCCGGCCGCAAGGAAAATGCCCTAACCCACCCCGAGCTTAGGCCCTCCCGCGGACGGGCCATTTCCTTTGCAGCTCGGTCCCCCCCTCTCCCTGCGTTAGTTCTGCTTTCCTCACACTGGCCCCGAGAAGCTGCCTCCCCGCCTAAAACCAAAAGCCAGCTCATCTGAGGGGCGGAAAACAAACTGTCATGCATGTGATGCACACGTGTGCTTGTTGTTTCCTATACATTTAAACGAGGGAAGAAGGAACATCTCTGTATGGGATCAAGGGATCATTACAGGTTGGAGGGGAAAGAACCCAACCATGGCCACAAGGTCTCTCCAGCTCAGTTTTCATACCGGTCCCTCACAAACTCCACTAGTCACAATATCTTAGAGAAATATTCCAGTCAGATGTGATCATATGAGAGATTTGAGAACTGGTGTTCATATCCCAAATCTGCAATTTACAACTATAAGTTTACCTTTCAAAGATAGTTAATGTTGATTTTTCTTTCTCTAATCTTGGTTTTCCTAAACTCTGAAATGCAAGCGTGTGGTTTTAGTTCAACCGTGAAACTGACTAGTCGCTCAAAATAATTTATTGAACATCTATGTGACGGGCACTGTTCTAGATGCTTTGCTTATTATCTCATTTAATCCTACAAAGGAAATCACAGAAAATTCTATTACAATTAAAGATAATTTTGCAAAGTACAGGCTGTATTTTCTCTTCTTTGTGTTAGGTGTTGTTCACAGATTAATAAAATGAGGTCACTGTGTTTATGGAACCACAGGCTAATAGAGGGACATACATATATGTGTGTGTGTGTATGTGCATATTTGGGATAAAAGTATATTATACAGTGTGAGGATAAATAATAGAAATAAAGCACACTAAGACCTTAAATAGGTAATGGGAAATGTATATTCATGAATTCAATTCACAAAATAGGAAATTTAAGTGCCTACTACAAATTTTACTAATGTTCACCTTAATAATGAAATGAAGACTAAAGAGATATTTTCCATGGACCTAATTAGTCCGTTTGTTTAAAATATGAATAAATTCCATTGGTGAGGGTAGAGTGAAATAAGCACTCATACCCTGTTGGGGATCTAAATTAGGACAAAGATTTTGGAAACTTATTTGTCAAATTAAGAAATGTTCAGATGACCTAATTCGGTAATTTTCCTTCTGGAAATTATAAGGAGATATTCCAGAGAACAAAGGCTTATATCAAATAACAATAAGGAAAGTAAACAAGGTATCCAAACAAACGCCTTTCATATACAAATGAAATTGTACTTTCTATCACATTTATTTGTTAATGGATGTTTTCCTCCGTGCAGTGCATTGTTGCAAGTTGTAAGGATTATAAAAATGGATAAATCATGATCCATTTTTGCCTTGAAGTTCACAATCTGCTGTTATTCTTTTATTTAGTAGTATAAGTAGTTGAGAGATTGCTGTAATATAAGATTGTGAGATCTTTGTATAGATTCTGGGCCAGTTAAATTTTCTGTGATTTCCTTTGTCGAGTGGAATAAAGAAGAAATCTGCATATCAAATGCAGTGTCAAAAAGAGTCCTCAGAAAAGTTTGAGTAATTTCTGAAAAATCCTATGTACCATCTTTAACCTCTAAAGATCCAATTTATAACCAAATTGTTTCTGGACTTGAAGAGATCATCCCAATTGTAATATATCTGGCCAATTTATTTCTTAGATTAATCATTGCTTGAATCAGCAGTTTATTATTTTGAAAGGTAACCAGAATCTTGATGATTTTAAGAGGCTTAAATTCCACAGTAATATGAACTTCCAAAGCTGTTCCCTTTTCATAAGTAATCTGGGTGGAGAAAATACCAGAAACAAATGAAAATAACTATTACAATTATTCATTTGTTCCATGGCTGATCTTATACTAACAAGCGATTTTAGAAGTAGGGATTCATTGCTACAAAACACAGAATGTAGCCCTACTTGGTTTGGCTCAGTGGATAGAGCGTCAGCCTGCAAACTAAAGGGTCCTGGGTTCGATTACTGCTAAGGGCACATGCCGTGGTTGCAAGCTCGATCCCCAGTAGGGGGTGTGCAAGAGGAAGCCAATCAATGGTTCTCTCTCATCACTGATGTTTCTATCTCTCTACCTCTCCTTTCCTCTCTGAAATCAATAAAAATACATTTAAAAAAATAACACACAAAATGTAACCTGAAACTGTTAATTAACCATTAGTATTTAAGTGCTACATAACCATGTGTAATGTTCATGTTTTGAGAAAAAGGGCTAAAACATCTTTTTAAAAATCTGCTGTTCCAGGACCAATCAAATCAGGTATTCAGAGCAATGTCATTAATAAATAGTTATAGTTTTGTTGACCATGAAAGCTAGTTTTTTTTTGAATAATAGAAAACTTTGGAAGAAATACACTATAATATTAACTGGATTATATTTTGAAGATGACATTATGGGTAATTTCTCCCCTTTTTAGTTGTCCATATTTTCCAAAATTTTTACAATAGCATTACTTTATAATCCAAGAGGGAAAAATGAAACAATTCCTTCTAAAAAAGTGTTGCTGAGTGCATAGTTGAATCAACCACTTACCTTGCATTTTTTTTTTTTTGCAATTTCTGCATACAATATATTGCATGACTGTGAGACATAGGAGAGAAATAACCAAAAAGCATACTGGATACTGTGTTAGAGGTGGCAACAAGGTACAATCATTACCAGGACTAAAGTATGATGCAGCTTCAACATCATGACACAGGTTCTCTTAACAAGAAAGTCAATAGAGTTTTTTGCCAAATATTTCCAGTTCTTTCTCTTCTCTTTTGGGCATGTGATGCCAATGTACTTCCTGGCCCCCTTGTGGTTGAATAGGGTCATGTGATTGATTCAAGCATATAAATTACGGAAAGTGCCATGCCATCTCTAGGCGTGGATCCCTCCCCCCTCACTGTGAGACATCCCAGGACCCTGCTTTCCCTCTGGCACAGCAATAGGCAAGACTTGATATTGTGGCTGCGCCATCAGTTTTGAGTCCTTAAGGCAGCGGTTCTCAACCTGTGGGTCGCGAACAATGGAAATACATCCTGCATATCAGATATTTACATTACGATTCATAACAGTAGCAAAATTACAGTTATGAAGTAGCAACGAAAATAATTTTATGGTTGGGGGTCACCACAACATGAGGAACTGTATTAAAGGGTCGCGGCATTAGGAAGGTTGAGAACCACTTGCAAGGGATTCCGATTTCAGAGCACTTCTGGAGAAATAAAAAACACTTGGTTATGATTTGTTACTGCAACCTAACTTAGCCTGTCATGGCAGATAAACATTGTTTTGTACCTCTGAGATTTGTGGGTGGCCATTCTGCATTATGCTCTGAGACAATGTCTCAAGGAGGCTTTCTGCAGCACCATTGTTTCCTATTGTTTTCCTAGGTGATTTGCTCTTTACTCATAATTGTTACAATTTGCCAGGTAAATAAATACATTTTGTTGCAAGAGTAATAGTGACCTTTTTAGTCCTGCAAAACCCTTTATTATTTCCATTTGGTCCAATGCATGGGAGGGGGCTCCAGGGTGGCTAAAAGAATGCCTAGTTGTTTCAGGGAAAGGCTCAGGCAAAAGCCACACACCCAGGGAACACAGAGGGGCCCCTCAAGGCTCTGGGCTCCAATGGCTCTTAGTTGTGCTTGAGGGTGAGCCTTGCAAAAAGATATTGCACTCCCCTGTACTCCCAAAACAGAAATGATACTCACCCAGCTCACCCTGAGGGTCGCCCTGCGGGCGGCGGTAGTCAGGT